ATTTCCCATTCATTACTCTGCAAGTCAACATTAATATTTGTACTTTGAAAGTTGTTTATATATTTCGTTAAAGTTGAATGAAAATTTTTATTTCTAAAGGTGATACATATTGGAATATTACGAATACAAAATGATCATATTGAAGCACACAAGTCAATATTAATGGTTGGCTTTTATTATGATTTGTGTGATATTTTATTTGGATCATTTTTGCATGGAGATAGATTTTGTTACAGTGAAAAGAAGTGCATGATCATCAAGGGCGGAACCCCTTTGGGGCTAGGGGGCAATTGCCCCTCCTAAAAATTTTTATTATTATTATTATACTCTTATTTAGGTAATTTTTAGTCTTTATTACAAGGATTTTTAGGCAATTGCTCCCCCCCCCTAAAAATATTAAAATACTATGATTTTTAGGCAATTGCTCCCAATATAATTTTTTTTTTATAACAAAATACTTATATTAATAATCCAAAAAGGGTACACCAAAAGAGAACGGCGAGCTGAAGAAAGAAAAAAAATTATATTGGCAATTGCCCCCAATATAATTAAATACATTGTGTAGATGTGTTATTGTTAGGGAATGTCGACCCCTGACATATATGCGAACAGTTACTTATAAGTTTGCTCGCCCTAAAAATTATGACTAGTTCCACCCCTGATGATCATCAATATAATAAGAATTAATTTTAATAGGGTATTATTGGAACCCAATTTATGAAAAGTAAGACAAGGTCAACTTGTGGAAAAAAAAATCCCGTAGTTGATGAAATTGTGCACTAAGTTGCATATATTGTCGTTCTTAGAAGATGTCATGCGTACGAAACGCTCGAACGGGATGAAAGCAATGGAGAAGAAGACAGGTTTAGACGGGGAAGACGACCCTTCGTGCAAATGATCGCGAGATGCGAGGCGGATAGAAATTTCTAACGGGACTTAAACGGAATGTTAGAATAGATGAAAATGAGGGCTTTAGCTAGTTTGGGTGTTTAATATATATTTTGAATAGTTTTAATTGTTATGTATTTAAAAATTGTTTTATTTTTTTTTTTAATGCGAGATTTTGAATAATCTAAAACTTTGTGTGTGGAGCTGCTAGCTTATTGTAGGTTGCTAGTTGTTGAACTTTAAACCCATATTAAATTGCATATATATAACACTCAATTACATATACAATTTATTTTGATTATAATTAAATTAAAAATTAAGATTTAATAGCTTTTTGACACTGATATATATGCGTGTGCAAATATGGTAAAATTAAAATATTTGTTATATTCATAAATAGTGATGTCCTATTTGTTTACAGCCAACCCTGACGTGCCATATGGATCACATGCCACGTGCAATTCTCCAGTGATGACGTAGTTCGACTACTTATGCAATTCAGCAGATCTTCGAGGGCAAGTTTCTGAAAGTAGACAATGACATTCTACGAAAAGTTCTGTGAGGCTTCCTTAGGCTTTGACTGTAGACTGTAGACTGCTGTACTTCGCCGCTCACTGAAGTTTAGATGTTTCTTCATTGTCAGTTGGTACATATAATGTTAGTTTTGATTGAGCCAAACGTGTGAACCGTCGGATTAACCGCCATGGCATTGGCGCGTGATGATCGACAGTTTTGAGGTCAATTATTTATAGAAAAATTAAATTTATTATTTTTCATTAAACTCGCCAGGCCCTAGCACGAGCTGGCCATAGAGTATATTTGGTCCTAGGTTCAGCCAAACATACTAGCCTGGTTTTGAAGTGATATAACATGAATCTCGAGGTAATATTTAAGTTAAAATTTTCTAAAATTAAATTTAGGATCATCTGAACTCTGATTTATGCAAACTTATAGTCAAACTGAACATTTTAAAAAGACAAATCCAACGACACAAAAGTCAACCCAATTCGAGCCCAAATGTGTCCAAATCGAATACCCAAATTACATTTGGAAGTATTAGAGTATACTCAAAGTACAAATGCTCAAGATAATAAAACCATGTAACTCTGTAGCCTATTATAATCCTGCGGCTCTTCATTGTCATCATCTATCTATATATACTATATATCCTGTACTTGAATTAGATAGAATTTACCTTTCTCTATTCCCTGTGTTCTGTTTGCCTGAGTTCTTGAGTTCTGCTTCAGTTCCGGCCTGTTCATCAAGTTCTTTAGGAAGGTTCGAATTATAAATTGGAAACAAACGATTTCCAAGCGTGACATACTTGTAGTCGAATCGGGCAACTCGACGAGACGAATCCAACAAGCCCAAGATCGTCAAAATTTTATATTATTAAGGCACACAAATGCTCAATAAATTGTGTATGATCAAGGGAATCAATATCGGTGGTCCATTCGAACCACTCCTAACGTGCACTTGATCCTCTCCCTATTTACTGATCATGTCACTCCAAAAAAATTATAAATCTACCCATCATTTTTTTATTGAGAGGGGAAAAGGAGCAGAGAAAGGAAGATAAATAAGAGAGGAGAGGAAGAGAAATCTGATCTCTTTTGCTACCAAGCTCCTCTTCGATCATCACCTGACCACCAACTATTATCGGATTTACGCTTGAAGACAAACCATTGTAGTACTTTTGTTGGACATCCACCCGGTCACCAACTATTATCGGATTTATGTCTAACACCAACCATCACCCGGCTTCTGTCCGACCACCAATTATTCGCCATATAACAATTTTTCTAACCACCGTCGTCTACCGACTACAAACCTTTTGACCTATGTCTTCAAACAATGATTTTTTTGACCTCTGTCACCCAATGACTATGGTCCTTCTAACATTTGTTTCCTGACGACTACTCTGACCTCCATCACTAGACTACGATCTTTTTGACCTCTATTGCTATACTACGGCTCTTTTAACTTTTGACCCCTGAAACTATCTTTTTGACCATCGTCGCCTGTCGATAACAATCCTTCCGACATCCATCACCAGACAACAATCTTTTTTACCACTATGACCCATCGACTACAATTTTTCTAACATATGTCGTCCATCGACTACGATCATTCCGACCTCTGTCTCTAGATAATAGTATTTCTAACCATTGTCGCCTACCAACTGTGATCCTTTTAACCTCCATCACTTGATAATGGTTTTTCCGACTTTAGTGTAATAACCTGTATTTTGACTTTACCAAATTTTTTTCTGGAGTCATTATAACCCCAAATTTTAATTCGTCTTTGCCATAGTATTTTTATTGTACTATTTTACTTATATGAATTTTTTCGTAAATTTTTGGCACTGTCTAAAATTCTTAAGAAATTAGTACCTATCGGTACAAGTTAGGATTTCGAGATTGTCAGGTGTCCGTTTTATAAACTGGTTTCTCCGATATTTTTTAAATAACATGTTTTATCTTCTGAATATTTTGGTGTAATTTTTAAAGTCTTAAAATGATTTATTAGAATTTTATATTAAATAAATTGATTAAATTATATTATTATATTAAATAAGTATAGTATATTTTATTCAAAAATATCAAAAGGTCTTAAAAAGTTTTTAAAAGCCTTCCTTCTTAAGATTTGCTAACAGAGATCAGTTTAGGCGAATTTGAGAGAGAATGTGAGGAGAGAGAAATTATAATCCTAAATTTGGAGGCTATGGAACGTTTTTCGTCAGTCGGGCCAGTTAGAAAATTTACTCGTCCGTTGTAAGAGAAATGAGAATTTAGCCGCTTAAATTGGGGATCACGACCTTTTATACTTTAATTGTATCTATTTTATTTCAGCTCGTCATTAAAATAAAAATAAATACTCGGTCTCTATACAATAATTAATTCTATACAAATTTAATTGAGATATCAGATAAGTCAAATAATAATTTAATTCTTAAATAGATTAATAAGTATAAAAATTTAGGCCCATATATAAAATTTTCCCAAAATAAGATATTTGAGAAATAATTCTTTTTGACGTGTTCTCTAGAGAGTTATATGATGAATCTTCATGGCAAGAATATCCGTAGAGTTCCATTGGCAGCTTCCTTATGAGTTGCCAAGTAGCTTTAGGCTTTAGGCAACATGAAAACATGAAATTTTATATTTCCCAATACTATATGCACGTGTATCTTTTCTTGTAGCGGCTTAGAGGTGAGAAAAAAAGGGTTTCAATGATTTGGTTCACGTGTTGCCGACTGGTTCAATCCATTCATGTCTGTTAAATGACTCGATATTGCATAGGTAGGAAAGACAACCGAATTAAACAGTGAAAGAAACATTTCTGTTTCAGTTGCCGACGGTGTCTTTATCTCTTTTGATGGTTGCAGAATTTAGTGAAGCGTAATAAGTTCAGCCTTATTCTTTTGTCTTCCACTGAATAAAGATTTTTATTAATTAAATTTAGAATCAATGGAGTAATTTTGATGATTAATAAGGGAAAATTCCTCACATATTAATATAAATTGATCAAAATAAATTTCCTCACACATAACAATATCTTTAAACAAAATTCAAGGATCAATTTGTATTAGGATATCAAACTTTTTTTTTCAACTCACACACTCATCATATACGCTAGACTCGAACTTATACCTCTTGGTTGGTAACCAAAGCCCCCAACCAACAGAGCAACATGAGTTGCGTGATGTTTTAACCACAAAAATGATGATCTCTCGCAATAATTTAACCAATGGTATTTTAGAAGTAGTGTGATTTTATTGATGCAAATTATGATTTTGTTTGTGATGACTTTTTTTACTGGTTCTTAAAGCAACTTTTTATTATAAAAATTTTAATTTTTATACAATAAAATTTCTTTAAGAAGCACTAAAAAAAAAGGTCTCAAACGAAGATTATATCATCTGTTAAATAAAAAAACAAGCACTAAATATTTAAGCTTCTTAAGAAAAAAATGTGCTGCTAGACATATTGCAAATTAAAATATCTTTACATTTCAAGAACTCCTTGCTATGAAAGTCTTTCTCTCTCTATCTCTCTCCTCTTCCAGCACTGAACCATCTTTGTATTGTATATAATTTGATATATTTATAATCATAATCCTAATTTTAAGGTGAGCTCGGGTAAGTCAACTTCATCATAATGATCACCATCATCATCACCGTCCATTGGAATCACATTCAAGTCAAAATTCAGCACAGGAACGAACATCGGTGCCGCTAAAAGATCAAGAAGTTTATGTCGTCGCATATGGCCACCGAGAGCCTGACCCATGGAAAAATTCAACCCGCAAACCGAGCACTGGTGGACTCTCTCCTTAATCTTTGTTGTCTTCTCCTCTCTCTCCTTCGGCCTTGTGTGCCCAGTCCTGTGGCCTCCAAGGGCCTGATATGTGGCAAAGGAACGGCCGCAGGTTTTGCACTTGAACTCATGATCTCTTCTCTTCTCCATTGAGGGTACTTTCATGTAGCTTGTAATTGGTTGTGTGGTTTACAGTAGTTCACTAACGATCTCTCCTTCTCTCGCACTCCCTTTCTTATAAGCTGTGAGGGAACCGCGGAGAGATAAGTAGATTGCCAAGGTAGTAAATTCCTTGAACGCGTCTGAGTGTTCCTGCCGTTTTAGTTTTCTGTATAATGCCTATCCATTTTGAATGGGTGGTCAATGAAAGATTCAGACAAATATAATTATTATAAATCAATTATTTATATACTTCAAGATAATATTTGTATTTTTTAAAATGTTATTTTTAATGCTTTTGTAAGGTAGATAAATGTTTTTTTTTTAACGGGTATCCATCCGCCGCAACCCTTGAAAGATAGTTTGGCGGCGTGACTAATTTTTGGATGATCTAGAAGAGGCACCCACCTCAAAAACTTTCTGACCTGTTTCTCATTGAGTCTCACTTAAGAGGTGCTTCCGTCCGAAGGGAACTCTCCACCAATCAAACTAAGCGTCCATGGATAGATAGATGTCTTTTAAGTCGGTCAGAGAACATGACTCGCAGACAAGTTAAGTTCAATTATAATATATTTTTCTGTTTGGTTCGGATAACCTAAAAGCTTTTGTTTTTACTTGTTTATTGAGTAAGGCGGACTGCGGAGACCTAGAGGCAAAGTACATGGAAACAGAGGTCGCTTGCTTGTGATTATCTTTGACCGTTTTGACACTTAGCCAGATTAATTAATTAAGATTGATCAAGCTGAATTCTATAAGTTTAAATTTAAATTTTTATTATAATTAAAATGATAATTTTAGCTTGAGTAGCTATTATGCTAAAATGATTAAACAAAGAATTTAATAGATAAATTAATAATGAAAAATTAGTTGAGATAAGAGAGAGATTTATTAAATTCTAGAAAGCATCACGCGATATGCTAACTGAGAAAGAACATCATAATTTAACATGAAAAACTCTAGAAAACTGAAAAAATCATAGAGTTGCACCAAGCCTAGAAATTTACGCTGAAAAATGAGAGAAATTGAACAAATCTTACTCTCAATTTCCGCACCATTTCATGCACACAAACACCTTTTGAGATTACAATTATCATATAAAAATTGCAGGAAAGAAACTGACTCAGCTGGGATATAGCATTGCGGCGATGGACCCACAACACCTTGGTGCTGGGCTCTCCATCCCATAGCGGGTTCACATTGTTGTGGCGCTGTGTTCACATCATCTCAGAGCTTTCGTGGCACTGTGTTCAAATGTGGGAGCTTCCATGGCTCCGCCCAAATATTGTCAACCTTGAGGCAAAACGACTTAATTCGCCACCATAGCCTTTGCCGGCCAAACATCGTCGTCGCCGCCACCATCGAGACCAAGCGTCGTCACCGTTGCTGTTGCTTACCAAGGTTGGTAGGTCGTGTCGAGTTGACCTGGGTCCGAAACGGATCAGATTCGGATCCGAAAAAGTGACCCGTTAGCAAAAACATATCGGATTCAAGTCGGATCAACTTATGTCATGTCAGTTCAGAGTTTTTGACATTTATAAGGCTGTGCCTTTTTTTTTTTTGACATTTATGTAAAAACTTTAATGCTCCGTTGAGATAACTTATGCTTTAACTGTTATTTACGATTCTTCATTTAAATTAAACCGTACATTTTAATTTTTATTGTAATAATTTTTTAATTCGTAACAATTATAACCATCAATAAAGTAGTGATTTTTTTTTACTTAAATATACAATAAAAACTTTTGTAGGTAATTTGACCATTTATTCACATTTTATTTTTCTAATTTTGTTCTTAGTAGAGAGCTAGCGAGGGGTGCTCTGTAATTGGTGGTAAAATGTCATTATAGAAGGATGTAATTGCCGATTAGTTCCGTGTAATTTCCTCTAATCAACCTTGGAATGCAAGTTTACGCTGTGCCGGAATGATTGGAAGATGACTTTGACTTCGAAACTTCTAATTTTTATTTTTCTTTTTCATATTTAATTATAATATAATGAATTATCCAAAATAAAAATTTATTTGATTAAAATACTAAATATTTATACAATAATAGCATGATAATTATTTTATATTACAAAACAATAATAAATTTTTTAGGAAAAAAAATGTTTTGTCTTTCATATTTTCCAATTTTATTTCTTTGTAATGTTGTCTGATAAAAAATAAACATAAGAAACAATGGATAGTTATTTAGTCAAAATTAAAAAAAAAAACATTCTTTCTGATATTGGAGTGCATCAAAATTATACTAGAAAGTTGTGTGCAACTTCCTCTGACTTAGGATTCATTTGGGATGACCGTATTTGTTGGTAAAATTGTACAAAAATTTTCTTTCTAAAGTTGTTTTACAAAAATCAATGTATTTTATTTAGGAAGTATAAATGTGGAGCTACTATGCTGTAGCTATGGGTGTCAATATTTGACACAACACTAAAACCCAACTCGAATTTGACAAAAAAAATTTGGGTTAGACTCGACCTGATTTTAAAACGGGTCAAATTAATTCGACTCGTTTGAAAAATGATTTGGGTTTGGGCTGAACCAGAAATAAAAAATCCACCGGGTTTCTGTAGAAATTCTTATTCTAGCCTTGAACAGCAAGAATTCATTTGAGGAAGAAGATGAACAGTAAAAGCAAAGTAATGATGTATATGTTCTTGTCTTTACTGGTTACAGAGTAGATCCCTAAATAGACATCTAAGAGGAACTTTACACGTGTGACCACGTTATTGGTTTACAAGAAATAGAGAGATAAAGGGAATTGCTGACTGTAGATCTTATTTAAATACACTAACATCCCCCCTCAAACTGAGAATTAGAGAAAATGTTCAGTTTGGATCGCAGCAACTTGAAGCGAGGAGTGGATAACGGCTTTGTGAGGATGTCAGCTAGCACTCAAGTTGTGTCTGTTCATCACTCGTCAGGTTGTCATTCTGTTCACGTGTCGTCATTCGTCAGCTCGATGTGCCTGCCGTCCGATGAGCCGTGACGCCGAGAGTGCCATCCCGTGTTGGCCTCAACAGCTGCCTTCGATTGTGAGCCCCGCCGTGCTGCTTGCTGCCGTCGACGCAAGCTCGTCATCCTGTCGTTCCACTTCTTACCGTCGACGCGAGCCCACCGTCCCACCATTCTGCCTGCTACCGTCGACATGAGCCCGCTTATTGCCTTCAATGCGAGCATGTCGTCCCGTTGTTCCACCTGCAGGAGTCGATGTGAGCCCGCCAGTTGACGTCGACGTGAGCCCGGGTTAACAAAACAATGTCGGGTTGGGTCAACCCAGTAACCCGCCAGGTCGGGTCCGAGTTCGTGTTTTCGACCCATTTGCAAAATCGAGTTTGATTCGGGTCAACACGTTTGAACCCGTTCAGCCCAAACCCAACCCGAAACCCAATTTTAACACCTCTTATTGCATCTGTATGAGAACAAATTATTTTAATAATATTTCAAAAAAATTCTTAAAATAAATATGATAACAAACTAACAATTTTAAATTCAAATTGAATATTTGTAGAAAATATTTTATAAGTTTTAAATATCAAAAGTAATATAAATTTTTATTGACAATGCACTATCATATTTTCACTACTAATAAATAAGGCTTTCGCGACACTTTTTAAGACCTACTGCAGCGGTTTAAACACCTACTAATTTATTTGCAGCGGTTTAGAAACCATTGTATTTGCGTTCGCTGCAAAGGCTTTAGCAGCGATTTTTTGAGTGCTGCTGTAGGAAGGCTTTAGCAGCACTTTTTTAGCAGGTGTTAAAACCGCTGCTAAAGGGTAAAATAAATTAAAAAAATATATAATACCAAAAAATCAAATTTATGATCAAATTATTTAAACTTCTAAATGTCAGAAATTTACATTTTCAAAGAAGACCATGCATCAAACATCATGCAAATAAATCGGATTTTCAAAATATTAGTGCATATACTGGATCAGCCATATTTTGGTTGTCAAAAACTTCTATTATGACTAAGCTATAAGATTTTAAAATATCAAAACAGACGAGTATTGTTTTAGTGAAAACCATTTAAAATCTTGGAAGTGGAAGTAGTTTATGATCTGCTACTTGTGATACAAAATTTAAATGGTGGCTGCATTTGCTCTTAAGTAATTTTGAATTAAAACCTTTAGTTGAAACATGCAAGCACTTCAATAAACATCGAAAAGTATTGTTTTGTGAAGTAAATGAGAGAATTGATTGGTCAAAGCAATCTATTCTTAGAACTTAATAGCAAAACTTAAGAGACTTGTTACTGCCAGTTTCAAAATTTTCATTTTGAATTATCAATAGAAATATAACATGAAAAAAGAAGAATGTGCTTGAATATATACCTAAGCACTTAACATAGATATTTGATAACAACCACAACAACATAAGTAGGAATAACAACCACATCCATTATTAATATACATTTACAAAAGTCATATAGAAGAATGATTAAATCCATAGTGCAACCTGCTAGTTGAGCAGCAAGGGGACATACTTCGTGAACAGAATTTGATAAGCAAGCCTAGACGCGCTTCAGATGAATATGCTATGTAGTTGATCCAAATCCAACCTAATTAAATCCATAGATGAGTCTATGCCCGATTGATGCATCCTAACAACTGCAATAAGATGCAAACCATTAAAATTTAGTCCTACTTAATATGGAGAATAAAGACTAGGAGTTAAAGAGTAATAAATGAATATGATATCAAAAAATTTTAATATAGAAATGATATAAAAGAGGTTATAAATGAATATGATAGCATGCTGGTCAAAATACCTTATTCTTGCAAACCAGCATATCCAGATGGAGAGACTTGACATAAAATTGGCAAAAGGAATACTCGTAGGCATGATGAGTCATTTCCCTGCACTCCATAAACAGTGAGATCTAAGAAATTCATTAAGTAATTCGATAAACCAAAATTGTAGAATATAAGTTCTCTAGGAAGTTACTACAAGATGAAATTCAAATGGAATAGATGTTCCCTAATTAAGTTGATACAATATGAAGTCCAAATCTAAATTAAATAACAACCGGTAAGGCATGGACACAGATTTTTCTCAAAAAACCTATTTTTAGCAACAATTTAAATTTTGTAAAGGTTTTTGGATGACGTCAATGGCCATCTGGATGGAGAACTTCGATCTGTCAGTGACAAACGAGTCGCCGGAATCACCATCAGCACCCATGGGAGGTTGGCGCGGGGCAGTGGGCAGCGCGGGCGAGGGCAGCGGGCGGGGGCAGCGAGCGGGGCAGCAGGAAATTCAAATTTTTTTTAAAATAAACGGATTTTCGGGTTGACCCGGCAACCCACCAGGTCAACCCGAATTAGACCCATTTTTTCAAACGGGTCGAATCTGCGAACCTGAACCCGACCCGTTTTTCAAACGGGTCGGGTCCAACCCAGATTTTCCGGGTTGGTCCGGGTCAGATTTTCGTGTCGTGTCAAATATTGACACCCCTATTTATGATTACCGGCAATGCTCATTGGTGAGGTTTTTTTTTCTAGTTCATCGGCAAAGGATTTTTTCACGAGAAAAGGCGAGCAACAACTTTAATAGCAGATATCGAAAGGGGGAGCAGTTTGGTGCGAGAAAATGCATGTCTGGAAAATATCGAAAGTCTACGCTGTGCGATGAAGATGGGTTATCAATGAGAGAGAGAAAAATGAGAAACAGATGATAAATATATAATGATTTTGAATAGTTTATATGTTTTTTTTGTTCATTTTGAATCTTTTTTGAGCTTGTACAGAGTTGTGTATAAGAATTTTTTTTTAATGCTATATTTTTTCTATTCTTTTGAGCTCGTTCGTAATTATGTATTAATGTGTATTGCTTTGCATTCTTGAGCTTGTGTTCTTCTTTTACAACCCAGCTGCTACATAAACCCTAAGTTTTGTTACGATACCCAAGCCGAGCCCTTCTCTTGTTATTTCTCACGGCCTGTTTCCAGTGAGCTGGTGTTATGTTTAAGTATATAAATATTTAGTTATATATTTGTTTTGATTGCCAAGCCACCTCAATTTCGTTGCCTGAAAAATCGAGAACTACTTGGAATTCTTAAGATAAAACTTCAGCTACAAGCCTACAACACATTAATAGTAATCACAATAATATTAAAATATAAATCTTAGAAAAATTAATTGTATGCATAACATTATATGTTCCTTAGCTCCTACATATTAAATTGATCGAAATAAAGTATATAATTTTATTTTTTTCTAATTTTTTTTATGGGTAATTTTTTTTATGTATTAGTGTGTATTGTTGTGCAGGTCTGTATAATTGTGTATTTGATGTGTATTATTGTATATTACTATGCATTAATATGTATTGATGTGTATTGATGTGTATTATTATATATTATTATATATTGGTGTGTGTTGTTGTGTATTTGTGTGCATTTATGTGTATTAATATGTATTCATGTATATTTATGTGTATTAATTGTTGTGTACTACTGTGTTTTGTTGTATATTGATGTGTATTGATATGCATTGTTGTATATTGGTATGTATTATTATGTAATACCGTGTATTGATATGTATTAATGTGTATTTGTGTATAATGTTTTGTATTACTGCGTATTGTTATATATTGATGTGAATTATTGTGTATTGATATGTAATATTATGCATTGGTGTGTATTAGTATGCATTAGTGTGTATTACTATGCACTGATGTATATTTATGTGTATTCGTATATATTGATATGTATTTGCGCATTAATGTGCATTGATATGTATTGATGTGTATTGATGTGAATTAGTGTATATTGGTGTGTATTACTATATATTAATATGTATTGGTGTGTATTGCTGTGTATTTTATTGTGTATTATTGTATATTTTATTGTGTATTGCTTTGTATATTGTTGTATATTGATTCAATATTCTTGTGTCCAATTATTCATAAGTGAGTTTGAAAAAAAAAATATTTTATTGAGAATAAATTGAATTTTATTGTATTAAATTTGATAATAATTGTATATTAACCATTAACAATAAAAAAAATAATTTTATTCTAGTACTCTCACTCAAAAAATTCTTAGATCTATATTTGCCAAATCTTACCACTTTTTAAATTAATTTTCTAAAAGTTTAGTTGACCTTAAAATTTGCTTTGATTTTTTCCTAAAAAATATTTCATAATTTCCTAAATGATTGGTACTTTAAATAGTTTGAAAAAATTTCTTCACTCTTTACTTTATTGAATGCCATTTAAAATTTCATTTACTGAATTATTATAAGGCATTAAGGCATGTAACTTTATTCCATCAGCTACCTAAAAAGCAAAATGCAAACAAGCTTCAAAAGTTAGATTGCTTCTAAAGGTACCAAACAAAATTTTTTTCTTGTTTTATGGTGTGGCAACAAAATATTCATTGTTACATGCTTTCTCTCTTAATGTGAGTACTCAAATCACTATGATGAAGACAATCTATTATAACATTTTCAAGGATTTACTGGTCTGTTGAAATTTCTTGCCTCATAATTGCAATCTTAATAACTGTTTTAAGAGATATTTGAAGCTTTTGGGCCATATTTTAGCTCTTCAGAGCATCACTAGTATTCATTCTTGCATTGACAAGTGCTAATCAGTTATCATAATAACATTAAATATTAAAAAAATAGAAAAAATTAATTTTTTTCTTGATATAAGATTGAATTTTTAATAAGTTAATTTAAAAAACAATAAGATTGGGCAGTTGTGTATGCTTATTACTTTAGGAATACACACATTGTTATTTTTTGAGATTAAATTTGAGTAGTCATATATTATGTCTTTTAAAATTAACTTTAATTAATAGATAAATTTAAATTAGAATATTAATTTGAACTTAGATTTATCAATACCTAGTAATACATAGTATGTTTCAACTTGTAAATCATATATTTCAATATAATTTCTCTAATATATAGAGTGCAAATATATATATATTTTCAACATAATTTCTATAAAACATATCTGTGAAAAAGCTCAAAAAGCTTTCAAATGAATAAATACAATATTTTTGGATTCATATAAGCTTGAATACACAACAATACTTAGAAATACATAGTGCAAATTAGTAAAAAAATATATATTTTTTAATATAATTTTTCTAATAACAGCTGTTTATAAGCTAAAAAAACTTTTAAATGAATAAATAAAATATTTGTGAATTCAAACAAACTTGAATACACAGCAATATACATCAATACCTAGCAATACATCGTACATTTTAGCCAAAAAATTTATATTTTCCAACATAATTTCTCTATAATAGCAAAGTAAGTTTCATCTTATTCTTCAAGTTTTTTATTATTTTTCAATGGCTCTTCAGAGAATATGACATCATTGAAACTAATTTTCATCTTCATCGCATGTTTCTCTTTTTACTTTCTTAACAGGTACCGAAAGTTTTATTTTGCAAAAAATCTTAAATATTTGAGAATTGGGAGATTTGCGGGTTTCTTTTTCAAAAACATAAAAAAGAGTGAGTTGCCGTAATTTTAAAATTTTCACGGTGTGTTGGATCGGATCTTCGAGTCTTAAGAAAAAAAAGATAAGAAATCTATATCATCATTTCATTGAAGTTGGAGGTAGAGCTATGTTGAGACTTGCATAGAACAATTTTTCTAGACTTAGCTCCCCGCCTTGGAATAATTTGAATTTCCTTTTTTTGAACAAAAAAAGTTGTCCTTAGAGAACAATAATTAAAAGAGAAACTATAATTTTCTTCTTACATAACAGGCCGTGTGATGTAATTTTTATACTATCAAACAAGGCTTTTAAAACCGGACCGGACCGGCCGGTTACGGTTCTCTTGAAAACCCTTTTCGCGTCAAACAGGCGTTAAACCGTTCGAACCGCCGGTCCGACCGTCGAACCGGAAAACCGGCTCCGGTTTCGAATAACCAGACGGTTCGGGCAAATTTTGATCTGAGCTGTTGGATCTCATCCTACGGTTAATATGAGCAAAGGCGGATTTAAGCGGGTTCCCGCGGGCGAAAAATAAAAATACAGGCGGATCGATCTCGCGTGCCCTAAAACTCTTCCGCTTCGCTCTCGCCTCTCGCTCTCGCTCTCGCTCGCAAGTCGCGGCTCTGGCGCAAGCTTCTTGTCTTCAACTCTTCCTTCCATTTCGCTTACAGAGATAGATTTGTTCGGCACAAAGGTAATCTCATTCGTCTTCCTTTTTCCGTTTCATGAACAGTTCTGCTTTTGATCCAGCCAGCACGCTCGACTGCCTTCCTCATAAATTTGTTCGGCTGTTCATAGGGTCACTTTGCGTTTATGTTAGTTTGAGTTTTAAAATTGCATATCCTCTCTTGTTAAGTCTTAATACTCCTCTGCTTCGGTATTCATGAATCAAAACAGATTTGCTCATTCGCCTTTGTTTTAAGCTTTTAGGATGTTTTGTGTTTTAGCTTTGTGATATTTTTTAATAGAAAAATTTGACTTTTGCTGTTTGATACCGATCTAATGGTTTGTTGATGTGTGAATTTGGGGATTAGGGCTAGTATCACGTCGGGCACATTATAGATTCTTCTTACCGGGAGGTTTTTGGGAAAGATGATGGTTTTCCTAAAGCAGGTAGCTGCCTTTTGGATTGCTTCTGATTGATGGTGAGATTTAACAAGAACCGTGTAAACATTTGTTTGATATCTTATATATATCTAGTAAACGATTTATGCTAATATTTTGTAATGCTATTATTTGTAGAATTACATTTTGATTTATTTAGAAGGCTGAATATTAATATGTTTCTATTCCATTATATGCAGGTTGATCTTGCTCATCTATTGGCAGCTCGTGATCAAGAACTTCTAGCTTTATGCCTTTATCAGCTAAGGTATTGTTAGCATGTTTTAATTATGTGTTTAACTGAAGGTTCTATTTCTATCTAGGAATTTTGTTTATAAGTTTTGCTAAGTTTGCTGCTTCATTTGCATATTTTTTAGTTTATAAGTTTGATGTTTTTTAGTTTATAATATATGAGCTTTATATGTTTTAGGTTGTTTGAATTTGCAACTACGACGAATTGAGGTATTCATTGTTTTCTACCTTGCATAGTTTTCAACTTTATTATTTTATTTTACTTTATAGTTTTCTATAATATATATTTATTACGTCATCCGGTTCGACCCCGGTTTGACCCCGATCGAACCATCAAACCTCTAACCCCTCCTTCTTCCGGTTCATCGACCGGTCCGATTTTAAAAGCCTTGCTATCAAATGTCAATTTGTTAACCCTAGTGATTTTGGACATTCCCAAAGCTAAATACGCGAACTAAGCCTATTTTTTTGGGAAAAATACGGGAACTAATCCGATCCGCAACAAAACAATCCTCCTCATATCATTGCCGTACAAAATCATAGAAAGGCATTATGATCAACGGTCAGAAATAATTACAGCAATTAATCCGGACATAAACAAAGCCAGCCAATTAGCGCTCACCTCGTCTCGCCTATTTATAACCTTTCGCTACCCACCGTTCGTCATTCGCCGCTCTATTCGTCTCGGATTTGTTTTCGATTAGCGATTCCAATGGCTCCAAAGGCGGAGAAGAAGCTCGCTGAGAAGAAGCCCGTCGCCGAGAAGTCGGTGGAGGAGAAGGAGAAGAAGGTAGAGGTGTCCGAGAAGGCCGAGAAAACGCCGGCGGGAAAGAAACCGAGGGCGGGAAAGAGCCTTCCTGCAACAAAAGAAGGCGTCGCTCCTGGCGATAAGAAGAAGAAGAAGAAGGCCAAGAAGTCCTCCGAGACTTACAAGATTTATATCTTTAAGGTTTTGAAGCAGGTTCACCCAGACATCGGGATCTCTAGCAAGGCGATGAGCATCATGAACTCCTTCATTAACGACATCTTCGAGAAACTTGCTCAGGAGTCTTCGCGACTCGCCCGATACAATAAGAAGCCGACTATCACATCTCGGGAGATCCAGACTTCGGTTCGCCTCGTTCTACCCGGTGAGCTCGCTAAGCACGCGGTTTCTGAGGGCACCAAGGCTGTTACCAAGTTCACCAGTTCTTGATCTGGTTTGTTAATTCTACGGTCTTGATGTGTAATTTTCTTGTTTTTCTGGGAATGCTTCTTTTAAACTTTCTGGTCCTAAGATTCTGTAATTAGTAGTAGAACATGTTTCGCATGTCTACGTTTTAATTTGTTCTTGGTTATACTTTCGCAGCGGAAACATTTTCTATGAAAAGTCTTTTCTGGTAGCTGCTTTATTATTTCTGTTATTGAATATTTCGATCGTTGTAATTGTTTATGCTAATTCTTTTTATGTTTTAAGTATGGATTATGATCAGCGTTGTTTTTAAATTATTTTAATTTTTAATACTGTTTCGTCTGATTAATCCAAATTAAATGAAGTTAGGTATATTAAAGAATTGCTAGGATTCGCTTTTTGATGAAAGCGAATGGTCTTTTAGTGCTTGTCGTTTCTATGTTTGGATTTATTGATCGAGCATTATGGGCTTTTCTTTTAAAATTATTATAAAGCCACGGTCAATTACATCAAGCAGATTGCAAAATTTCGGTGAAGAACTTGATATTTGGAAGTAATATAATTACATAATTACAAAAGTTATTCATCTGATGTTGTAAAAGGTGAATCATAGTATGATAAATCATTCACTTAATTGTTGTAAATGATTAAAAATATTATTATTAATTTTTAAAATTTGTTCTTATTTTAAACGTGTAATATAAATTATATATGTATTATTCTCATCTTAAAGGAGATTCAAGAAATATAAAACATATATTATTATAATTTCTACATGTAACTGTTCAATAATTTGTGATAACAGTAACTTCATGAAATGGATCTTGGATAAAGCTTGTATTGTGTCTATGTGCATGCACTGTACATTTCCCTTTGATCCGGTTTGTTGTACATCGTTTAAATGTTGGCACTGGCTGAACGAAAAAAAAAGACAGATGAATGCAGAGGTATGTTCACATCGGCTGGCTTATGATAGATTGTAATTTGGGGAGATGGGTTTAATCTTGCTATGGTAGTGAGTGTAGAAGTTGTTGGATGGCCTAATCATTTACGCCAGCTTCTGTTTGTGATTGTAGCAGATAGATTGTTGGGGTAATTGAGATGCTTGAGATAGATGGTGTAGTAGCTCACAAAAACAATTAGGAGCAAGGAAACAGCATAGGAAAGACAGCGATATGCAAAACAAATTGTACAAAATCTATGTCAAAAACCAACATTTTATCCCTCCTTCCTCTACCTATATTTCTATGTATCTTTTTGTATTACTATATCTGATCACTGCATACTAAAAGTTATAGGAGATTTAAGTAATTGAGAAATGACAAAAGCTAGAAAATAAGAGTAATAGAGAAACAAAAGATAATGGGAATAACAAAAAGTGGATAATGGTGGTAGAATATCCCTTCTTCCTTATGATGCACTGCATTGATGCTCCCCGACTTCCTTAGCATGCACCACATCAATAATTTGCTCTTTTGCTTTGAAAAGACCTGCTGTTGCTATAGTGGTTTGGGTGTTGAGTTCATTTGGGGAATAATAAGCATAAATGTTAGAAATATTGTAAGTTGCAGGTGTATGAAAATGAGGTGGAAGATCATAAGCATTGCCATTTATGCTTTTGAGGATGAGAATTGGACCAATTTTTTGGGGACGGGGACTGAGTTTTAGTATGATCTAGACAAAACCTTTCTTTGTTGATCCCAACCATCACAAGATTGTCCGGAGAAAATATTTTTTTGTTTTTGGTGAACATCTTTTGTAGTTTGAATTGGAAAAAAATTATTTGTTTTTCACATCATTGAGCAAAGAATGGAAAGGTCAGTAAGTTAAGTAGCGTTTTGTTCTTACATTTTGGCAAGATAGTAATGTCAAGGATGTTATTCGGGGATTTGTGTTACGATGCTGAAGGATGATCGTCTTGTAGAATGATTAGTCCTGAAATTTATGCAAATTCAGCTTTTTTTTTAAACTTGTGCCAATGTTTCGGATTGTTTTGGACTAAACAACAAAGCATATTGTCAAGAGAGAGATTCACCATCTTCGTTTGCATATTAGTTTGCGAGTGATAAGCTAAACTAAGTTAAATTTTTGTGTGCAGTTTTTTCCATAATTCAAGTTAGAAATGACTCACAAATTTCACATCATGATTAGAGGTAAGATTGTGAGGCACACTACAGCGATAGACTACTTCATGAAAAATAGTTGAGCAATATTAAGGTCATTAAATGTTTTCTTACATGTAATAAAGAGATCCATTTTTGAAAATCTATTGACCACAATTATTATAGAATCAAAACCTTTCTTAGTTTGTGGTAGACCCAAAACAAAAAAACAAGACTTAAATCTTCCCAGATAGAATTAAGCATTGGCATAGGAGTATACAACCCAATCTTTTGATGAATACCTTTAAATTGCTGGCAAATTGGACACCTTTCCACATAGCGAGAAACATCGCGTTGTAATTGGGGCCAATAGAAACGTTCCTAAAGGTGTAAGAGAGTCTTGTCTCTACCAAGGTAAGCTGCTTACCCTCCACCATGAGTTTCTTGAATGATTTGCTGTCACCGTGAAGAATTGGCCGCACACAGGACATTGCCTTTGAATAACAACTCATGGCATATGGAATATTTAGCTATAGACTTACCATGAAGGCATTACTCCCATATGGATGAGAAACCCTTATCATAGTGGTGCAGGTCTTTAAGACACTCAATGCCTGGAAGCTCAGCTTGCAGTTGCACCTATAACACTGAATGCCTGCTTAAAGTGTTGGCAACTTGATTTTGGGGACTAGATTTGTGTTGGAGAACGAATGTAAATTTCATTCATTCTATTTATATTCTTTTGGTTGTTTAGAAATTGTAATGCTTGATGGTCACTACACAGGATGAAGTCCTGATGCAAAAGAAAATGCTCCCAATGTTTTGAAGTTGGTACAATTGCATATAATTCTTGCTCATAAATAGTCCACTTTTGTTGAGATGGGCACAATTTTTCTTTGAAGTATTTGACAATCATGTCCTGTTGAGATAAGAGTCCTGTTGAAATAAGACGACACCTATACCAATTGTAGATGCATTTGTATTAACTTGAAATGATCTGACAAAGTCGGAGAAGGAGAGGACTGGTGTAGTGCGTAAGGCAAATTTGATTGCCTCAAAACTTCATTGCCTCTTGTTTGACCAAGGGATCGTCTTGGATTTAAGCAGGTAGTCATGGGAGCAATTATTAAACACTAAATTCATGGATAAAATGATGATAAAAATTGTCAAGTCCATGACAATTATGCACATCATAAAGTGATCAAGATGTAAGCCAAGTCATAACAGCTGAGACCTTGGTTGGGTCGACATGAATCTCCACGGATGATATAATAAAACCTAAAAAATTTACTGTGTTTTGACGAATTCACATTTGGAAATGTTGAGAAATGTTGAGATATAATTTGTGTTCAGGTCTCAAAGATTTGGGTTAAATGAATGAGCTCTTTAGCTAGCGGAGGACTATAAAAGAGGATATTATTGAAGTAAACAACACAACATTTGCCTAAGAAAGATTTTGAGTATTTGATTCATAAGTTGCATGAAGGTTGAAGAAGCATTGCACAAGTTGAATGACATCACCTTCAGTTCATAGAGGCCTTGGTTGCTTTTAAATTGTCGTTTTCCACTTGTCATCTGGTTGATACTTGGGATACATGGGTTGCTGTAGGCTTTACAGTGGGAGGTGTTAGTTTAGGATCAACAATTGGTTATGCATGATGTTTTCTGGATAAGTAACTTCCAGTATGCTGATAAAATTGCATTTCAGGTTTAAGAGCAAAATTTATTGTGTGAGACAATGGCCAAATAGAATTCAACTCCAACTTGTCTTGAATTGTATCCCGCAAACCCCCAATATGCATTGCCGCTAGCTGATTTTTTGTTTCATTCAAGTTTTTTCGAGTGCTCAACTTGTAGAATTCCTCGGTATATTCATTGATAGTGCGACTTTCTTGTGAGCAATGTTGGTCTTTCATATAAATATTTGTTCAAAATCAGTAGATGAAATATCATTGTAGAAGTTGTTTCATTCTCTATCAGCCGTGCACACACCTTTTTTCTTCACATCGTTGGGTTTGTAAGAGCGGCAATCACCAATCACTTGCACCTTCCTTTACCCTACATGTTGTATGTTTGACTTGCTTTTTTGGAGCTATCTCCATATATTCAAAAAAGATCTCCACCGCCTGTTCTCAATCAAAGTAATATGCAATGGGCAGCATATCGTCAAAGAATAAAATATCAAGTTTGACACGGAATTCATTTTTGTGCTGCTGAACCCTATTGTGTGCTTGGTGAATAGGCTAATTGAAACAATAATCTTCCTCATAATTAGATTTCTCAATGGGTTGTTGAAATCCCTGCTCTAGCTTTGAGTCAGAGTTTTCAGGTGCACGACATGGCATCTCCTCATTGCTCAATTGTCAACGTGTGGCCTTGTTGCTGGGATGTTAGCAATGCACTGTGGCATTGGGTTGATGTTGTTGCTCAATTGGATGGCCTACAGTTCACTTTGAACTTCTATTGTAAATCGAAAAAATTCGTTTGAGAGATCTTTAAGCTTTTCGATGACATTTGTTTGCGCTGCCCATAGTTCTTCCAAGCTCTGATCATCATTATGAGCGGTTCGTGAACTTCCCTTCGCCATCCTGCTTCCCTTGATTTGCTAGCTTTGATATCAAATATGATGTAGTAAGCAGCTCACAAAAATAACCAAGAGCATGGAAACATCACAAGAAAGAAAACGTATAAAACAAGGGATGCGAACAAAGTAGTAGAAACTCTATATTAAAAACCAAAAGTCTATCTCCATTTCTTCTTCCTCTACCTATATTTCTATGTATCTTTCTGTATTAAGATATCCGGTCACTACATACTAAAAGTTATAGCATAGTTAAGCAATTGAAATAGGACCAAAGCTAGAAAATAAGAGTAATGGAGAAACAAAAGAGAGCATATAGAAGTGGTAGAATATTCCTTCCTTGTGTTGCACCTCATCAATGGAGTTCAGAAGAACTAGGTCCTTGGAGAAGGATTTAATTTATCATCGGATTCTTGATTGTAGTCATTAACATCAAAGGAAATTGTGCTCGAAATTCAGTAGCAAGTTTGTTTTTTGAGAGAAGATGGTTTAAAGAGAGTCACAAATTCAGGTGGGTATAAGGTTTGCCCACTGCCATTCCCAACCAATTGCTTGCTATTGTATGGTTGGGGGTGATGAAGCTG